CCAGGTGGGTATTTCAGTTTCAAGAATGCTCTATATAGATCCTATAGGTGTTTGTCTCTATCTGTCGGATTGGAGCAAATCCGATTGTATTTTAGGGCTTGGCTGTATACAATAGATTGAGAAATGTGTCTGGGATGGAAGCTAGAGGCATGAAGGTAAATGTAGCAGTTGGTAGGTTTCCGGTATAGGGAGCTAGAAATGTGTCCATTGTGTAATTATACTGTAGTGTCAAGGAAGAGTATCTCTCATGTGGACTGAGCCAGGCTGAGGTTGATGATGGGGTGGAAGTTGTTGAAATCCCTGTGAAATTCAAGTCTTTCCCATGGGCCCATATAATGAAGATGTCATCAAAGTAGCGTCAGTAGAGTAGAGGTGCTGGGGACGAGAGCTGAGGAAACATTGTTCAAGGTCAGCCATAAAGACATCGGCATATTGTGGTGCCATGAGGGTGCCCATGGCTGTGCCGCTGACTTGGAATACAGTGTTCTATAGTAGCTCTGTAGAGCCCGTATGCAAGCATCCAATCTTCCATATGCCTTTGCCATAAAGAGCACTATGCCTTTGCCATAAAGACAGAACAAAACCCTCACTTGGGGCAGAAGAATGTCAAGGGTTGCTTGTAACTGTGGTGATTCGGGGCAGGTTGAAAAGTGGATTTTTGCTAGGTTGTCTAGGACATCAGAACCCCTTGAATCATCATTTACCTGCCTCAATTTCAACTGGTGCAAAGCTCACCTCTTTATTAGGCTCCTGGACCAAATGCAGGGTATAATTCTATGGATTTCATTATCAAAAATAGCGAAACTTATTTAACTTGTTAATGAAGAAACCTGGTGGGGAAAAAAGTGAATGTAGCAAGTGGATTTGTAATCCAAGGTCCAGTTACAAGCAAACACCTAAAAAAGGGAGGAAAAAAGCAGCCTTCAACATATACTCAGGATACTGTATAGAAAAGGACAAACTAGTCTCATAATAAAAAAATAAATATCAGAGAAAACTCAGAGCCTGAGTCATGCTCCTCAGATAGGGGTGGGCAGAGCAGGATCATGCTCTATGTCAGGTCTCTGTTGGACAAAAAAATGTGTTATTGCAGGAGCTGGCAACCTTTTCAAGCCAAACTGCATCAAAATTCAGAACAAGTGGTCAACAGAGAGACAGTATAAAAATACCCATTTGCAGGACTGAAAATATACAACTTAATATTATTGATAATTGACATGATTAACAATAGCATACATGAAACATTGTACTCCCAGACTTTATTTAATGGGATTTCTGCTGCTGCTGGGGGTGCAGTTTGTGGATGTGGGGGTGCAGGAGTCAGGGTTGGAGTGTATGAAGGGCTCAGAGCAGTGGGTTGGGTATGTGGGCGGTGCAGGAGACAGGGCAGAGAGCTGGGGGTGGAAAGTAGAATATGTGTGGGGGAGGGCCCTGGAGCCGGATTTCCTTGCCTGACTAGGGCTGGGCTGCTGCACCTGGGCAGTAGTGTCTGGGCGAGGGGCTGGGCCAGGATTTCCGCAGCCAGATTGTGGCCTCCCTTCTTACCTGTGCTGCAAAAGAAGCGGAGCCGTCACCAGCCCTTCCTGCAGCCAAATGGGGGCCAGACTATGGGGCCTGCCCCAGGATCGGGGCCGGGAACAGAACGCTGCAGCCAGATGGGGGTGGGAGCCTTGGGGCCCTCTCACTATCACAGCTGGGAGCAGGGGCGGATGAAAGTGCCGCGGGGCCTAGGGCAGCGCCGCGGGGCCCAGGGCAGTGAAATTTCGCGGGGCCCCTCCTTTGACACGGCGCATGCGCAGGGCCTCGGGAAGCGCAGGGCCCGGGCCAGCCGCCCCGCTTGCCCTGCCCTAAATCCACCGCTGGCTGGGAGCGTGCATGCGCCCCCTATAGTGCGCCCTCAGACAGCTCTGTAAACAAGCCAGCTACGTCTACACTGGCACCTTTTTCCGGAAATGCTTAAAATGGAACAGTTTTCCATTATAAGTATTTCCGGAAAAAGAGCGTCTACATTGGCAGGATGCTTTTCCGGAAAAGCCCCTTTTCCGGAAAAGCATCTGTGGCCAATGTAGATGCGCTTTTCCGGAAAAAAACCCCCGATCGTTATTTTCGCGATCAGGGCTTTTTTGCGGAAAAGACTACTGTGCTGTCTACACTGGCCCTTTTCTGGAACAGTTTTCCGGAAAAAAAACTTTTGCCCGAATGGGAGCAGCATAGTTTTTCCGGAAAAGCAGCTGATTTCTTACAGTAGATCGTCAGTGCTTTTCCGGAAATTCAAGGGGCCAGTGTAGACAGCTTGCTGCTTTTCTGGAATAAGTGGCCCAGTGTAGACATAGCCGCAGAGTGCCACAGCTGGGTCTTCTCTTGCCAGAGCGCAGCTGGTGAAAGGTGAAATAGACAAATAGACCATCTTGACGTGAGTAATTACACATTTTTAAAATTTTGAATTGTTCATTTCACTTGAAAAAGTTGTATATATTTTGGGAATGACAAAAAAGCCATATTTTGTTTCCATATTGAGCCATATCTGGCTCAAGAGCCATAGGTTGCTAACTCCTATGTTTTTGTTTAAGAACATAAAAATGGCCAGACTGAGTCAGACCAAAGGTCCATCTAGCCCAGTATCCTGTCTGCCAACAGTGGCCAATGTCAGGTGCCAGAGGAAAAGAACAGAACAGGTAATCATCAAAGGGGAAGAACAGAACAGGTAATCAAATGATACCTCCTCCCCTGTTACCCATTCCCAGAGGCTATGGCACCATTCCTACCCATCCTGGCTAATAAATATTAATGAGCCTATCCTCCATGAATGTATCTAGTTCTTTTTTGAACCATGTTAAAATCCTGGTCTTCACAACATCCTCTGGCATGGAGTTCCACAGGTTGACTACACTGTGTGAAGAAATACTTCCTTTTGTGAGTTTTAAACCTGCTACCTATTAAATTCATTTGGTGACCCATAGTTATTGTGTTATGGAAGCATGTAAATAATTTTTCCTTGTCTACTATCTCCATACCTGTTATGATTTCATAGACTGCTGTTATAAAATGCCCCTGTAGTCTTCTCTTTTCTAAGCTGAAAAGTCCCAGTTTTATCAATCTCTCCTCATATGGCAGCCTTTCCAAACCCCTAATCATTTTTGTTGCCCTTTTCTGAACTTCTTCAAATGCCAAGATATCTTTTTTGAGATGAGGTGACCACATCTGCACACAATATTTAAGATATGGGCACACCATGGATTTTTAGAGCGGTAATGAGCTATTCTCTGTCCTTGTCTCTATCCCTTTTTAAATTATTCCTAACATGCTATTTGTTTTTTTGACTGCTGCTGCACATTGGGTGGATATTTTTAGAGAACTCCACAATGATTCCAAGATCTCTCTCTTGAGTGGTAATAGCTACTTCAAACTCCATCATTTTATAGGTATAATTGGCGTTATGTTTTCCAATATGTATTACTTTGCATTTATCAACATTACATTCATCTCCCATTTTGTTGCCGAGTCATCTAGTTTCATGAGATTGTTTTTAAGCACTTCACAGTTTGCTTTGGATATAACTGTTTTGAGCAGTTCAGTATCATCTGCAAATTTGCCACCTCACTATTGACCCCAGTCTCCAGATCATTTATCAATATGTTCAATAGGATTTGTCCCAGTACAGACCCCTGCGGGACACCACTAGTTACCTCTCTCCATTCTGATAACTGACCATTTATTCCTATCCCTTGTTTACTGTCTTTTAACCAGTGACCCCCTCATATCCGAGGATAGGTTACTTTGCTTAAGAAGGTTTCTAAAGGTTATGGTTCCTTGTTTATCCATGTCCTTGCTTTGGATGAGGATATGTTCTTGATGTCCCAATCAAACCATAAAAGATTTAATTGCACAGCTCATGTGCAAATGCAACCAAACCCATATGGCATGTAATAGTGGAAAGGAATAGACCTTGTCAACAATATCAACACTTACCCCTGCACGCTGGTAGAAGCAAAAATCCTCACACTTGGACCACATCAGGGGAAATGGAGCTACTTTATGCTGTGAAATCATTCATTGCAAACTCTTCCTGGGTGCTGTTGGACCCCACGATAATAATTAATCCACTCTCCCTGGCAGGACAGAAATTACTCTAGTGTTTATTGTCGGGAAATTATAATTATCAAAATGATATAGAGGGAAGAAAGGATACAGTATTGTCCATCCTATTAGTCTGCAAACCAGAAGAGGCAGAAGATTATGGGTAGCAGGAGGTAACTAAACCGTCCTCTGCTTATGACTGTTTTTTCTGATGCTTCCACAGTCCCCCACTGCATCCGCTACAAACAGCAGACAAAGTAGAATCATAGGGTTGGAAGAGACTTCAGGAAGTCATCAAGTCCAACCCACAAAAGCAGGACCAACCCCAACTAAAACATCTCAGCCAGGGCTTAGTCAAGTCGGGACTTGAAAACCTCTAGGGATGGAGATTCCATCACCTCCCTAGGGCACACATCCCAGTGCTTCTCCACCCTCCTAGTGACTTCGTTTTTGCTAATATCCAACTATTCTGTGGGAATTTGCATATCTTCTTCAGATCTCACTTTCGAAAGCAGAGCTTTCAAAAGTGAAAGTAGTCAAGATGCGTTTTTTTCGGCACCCTCCACCTTTTTTGAAAAGCCGTGTAAACCTCTGCTTTCAAAAGGGAGATAGGAAGAAGATATGCATATTCTCACAGAATTTGCATATCCCCTTTCGACACTTTAGCATAGTCTAGATGAGCCCAATGAGGCTCAATGGTCTCAAGTTGCAGTGAGGGAGGTCTAAGTTGGATATTAGCAAAAACTAAGTCACTAGGAGGGTGGTGAAGCACTGGGATGTGTGCCCTAGGGAGGTGATGGAATCTCATGGAATTTGCATATCCCCTTTCAACATTTTAGCGTAGTCTAGATGAGCCCATTCTGTCATCTGTCAACACTAAGAACAGTCTCTCTCCATCCTCTTTGGAACTCCCCTTCAGGTAGTTAAAGGCTGCTATCAAATCCCCCCTCACTCTTTTCTTCTGTGTGTCATGTAGCATGGGCTTTCTCATTGCCAGAGGAATACAGTGTCTGCAATCCTTTTTGAGACTATTCCCTGCTCTCTCTCGCTTTCTGTCTTTCATGCAGGTGGGGGTGGAACGCATGCTTTTGCCACCACAGCTGCTACTTATTTTATTTTGTGTTTAGCTCAACAGGTTGTTTCCCCCCACTGCAGTAAGAGATTACAGAGAGCAGAAGGTGAAGCAGGTGCAGAAGCCACTAGCAGAAGAAAGAATAAAGGGAATGCCACAAGGGAACCTGGCTGGTTCTTTATTGTTAAACACCGTATGGGTTCAACTCCAAGACTTGGGCTATCCTTCTCCAGACATGCAGAGGCTGAGATTACTGTGAAGCTGACAGGCTTGATCACCCCAAATCAGAATGAGGTATCCACCATTGCTACCAATCTAGGATACTTATATTGTTCTTATCACCCGAGTTGCTGAGCACCTAACAATTTTCTTAACTATTTATCCTTGTGAGTGAGAGAAGTACTATCAATGCCATGTTACAGTTGGGGAATGGAGGCAGAAACCCACATCCACAAAGATATTTAGGCTCCTAACTTCCATTGATTTCAGTGGAAGATAGGAGCCTACATACCATTGTGGAACTAAGTTTAAGTTCAGAGGGGGAGCCGTGTTAGTCTGAATCTGTAAAAGCGGCGAGGAGTCCTGTGGCACCTTATAGACTAATTGAAGTGTAGGAGCATAAGCTTTCGTGGGCAAAGACCCACTTCGTCAGATGCATGTAGTGGAAATTTCCAGAGGCAGGTATAAATATGCAGGCCAGGATCAGGCTGGAGATGACAAGGTGGAAGTCTAAGTTATTTGCCAAAGGTCACACAGGAAATCTTTGGCAGAGCAGAGAACTGAATTTGGCTCTGCAAGGTTCCCTTCACTCACCAGATCCTCCTTCCTCTAACCCCGGGTCTGCACTAGTGGATAAGTTCAAATTAAGATACGCAACTTCAGCTACGTTAATTGCGTAGATTAAGTCAAAGTATCTTACTTCAGATTCTGGCACCATCCACGCTGCAGGAATTTAAAGGGAGCACACTCTCCCTTCGACTTCCCTTACTCGTCGTATAAGCAGGACTACCAGCACCGACAGGAGCGATCCGCTCAGTTCACATTAGCGTGTGTTCACTAAATCCGCTAATTCAAACCCTGGAAGATCAACTGCGGCTGCTTCAGTCTTATTTGTAGTGTAGACATGATCTAAGTCAGCATCTCCAGCTGATGAGAACAGTGGAGGCACCATGAGTTAGGTTGGAAGGGTAGAACGTGATGTTTATTCGCTGCTGTTGACTGATTCTGGGCATGTATCTTTATGCACTGCATGTATTTATGTGCCTAATATTGTATGGGAGGGTTTTTATGTTATATACAGAGCCAGAGGCAACATCAGAATGTAGTCTGGAGTCTTAGCCCTTAGCAAACCCATACTGCTGGAAGAGCTTCGTGGAATATTCAATAGGGCCTGTGGCCAGGGGTTGTAACAAAAAATGGCAGCAATCCAACACTGATTTTTGCAGCATGCTGTCTGAATGAGAAGCTCAGATATCTTTATTATCATTTAAAGAACACATATATTTCATAAAGGAATCTCCAAGCACTAAAAAGAATGGATATGGATCCAGCACTTTGAAGTAGGAATAAGAGCCTCCGGAAAAGGGCGCTTTTTCCGGAGGATCGGGGCCAGTGTAGACGCTCTTTTCCGGCTTTTTTAAAAGCCGGAAAAAAGCGGCAGACATTTTTATTTAAATGCCGCGGGGGATATTTAAATCCCCCGCGGATTTCCCTACTACGATAGGTGAAATTTACATGCCCCTTCCGGAAAAGGGGCCAGTGTAGACGAGCCCAACATGTATAGTTGGTGTTATGTCGTTTGCCGTTTGCAATAAACTTTGCATAAAATAGTTAATTTGCATTTAATTTTAATGGTTCAAAGAATGTCAGGCAAAATCATGCCAGTCTAGACACAGCCATAATGTTTCACAGTAAAAAGAAAAATGTAATAGCTTGGGGTGTGGTAAATGGACATACGCTCGTGAGATATTTCCTGCTAAATCATACAGGGCTCCGTCTGTCCTGTAATGAGGCATTGTTAATGGGATTAACACTTTCTATTTCTGGCATACTCTCCTTCTAAAGGGTTTCAAAGTACTGTATAAACGTTCATCAAGTTTTCTAATAACCTGGTTGACTTTTTTTATGCATGGAAACTAAGGCTAGAGAGGTTAAGTGACTTTGCCCATAGTCACCCAATATGTCAGGGACACAGCTGGGAACAGAATGCTTGGTTCCCAATGCCAGATCTCACTACTAGACATTACCCTCCGTTAGGGTCAATGAGCTACTGCGTCCCAATATCTGTCATCTGGATTTGCACATCACCACAGCTGAATTTCAAAGCAGGACCCTCATGGTGCCTTGTCTGCAGGAGCATCAGGTAAGAGAAAGGGATCTTTCCTTTCCCTGAGTCAGTAAGAGCCATACTGGGCTTACCTCAGTTGCAGCTTGCCTTTTGCAGAGCTTATATTTGGCAGCAAAACTCACGCACACAAATACTTCCTTTGTATCTTCAATGAAAAGAGAGGAGGTGGCATCGCATCTGAAACACACAGCATGCAAACAGGATGCTGAGGCAATTCATAGGAATGCCTAATCCTAACAATAAAAGGGGCTACCTGCTGCCAGCCCTTAGCAGTAGGTGTACATGGCCCCAAAGTGTGTCAGCTGTAAGGGTACGTCTAGACTACAGGCTTCTGTCGACAGAACTTTTGTCGACAGAAGTTTTGTCGACAGTATCTGTCGACAAAACTTCTGTCGACAAAAGTTCTGTCGACAGAAGCCTGTAGTCTAGACGTACCCTTACAGCTGACACACTTTGGGGCCATGTACACCTACTGCTAAGGGCTGGCAGCAGGTAGCCCCTTTTATTGTTAGGATTAGGCATTCCTATGAATTGCCTCAGCATCCTGTTTGCATGCTGTGTGTTTCAGATGCGATGCCACCTCCTCTCTTTTCATTGAAGATACAAAGGAAGTATTTGTGTGCGTGAGTTTTGCTGCCAAATATAAGCTCTGCAAAAGGCAAGCTGCAACTGAGGTAAGCCCAGTATGGCTCTTACTGACTCAGGGAAAGGAAAGATCCCTTTCTCTTACCTGATGCTCCTGCAGACAAGGCACCATGAGGGTCCTGCTTTGAAATTCAGCTGTGGTGATGTGCAAATCCAGATGACAGATATTGGGACGCAGTAGCTCATTGACCCTAACGGAGGGTAATGTCTAGTAGTGAGATCTGGCATTGGGAACCAAGCATTCTGTTCCCAGCTGTGTCCCTGACATATTGGGTGACTATGGGCAAAGTCACTTAACCTCTCTAGCCTTAGTTTCCATGCATAAAAAAAGTCAACCAGGTTATTAGAAAACTTGATGAACGTTTATACAGTACTTTGAAACCCTTTAGAAGGAGAGTATGCCAGAAATAGAAAGTGTTAATCCCATTAACAATGCCTCATTACAGGACAGACGGAGCCCTGTATGATTTAGCAGGAAATATCTCACGAGCGTATGTCCATTTACCACACCCCAAGCTATTACATTTTTCTTTTTACTGTGAAACATTATGGCTGTGTCTAGACTGGCATGATTTTGTGCAAATACTTTTAACGGAAAAGTTTTTCCATTAAAAGTATTTGCGCAAGAGAGCGTCTATACTGGCATGTGCCTTTGCGCAAAAGGTTTGCTTTTGCACAAAAGCATCCATGCCAGTGTAGACACTCTCTTGTGCAAGAAAGCTCTGATGGTCATTTTAGCCATCGGGCTTTCTTGCGCAAGAAAGCCCGATGGCTAAAATGACCATCAGAGCTTTCTTGCACAAGAGAGTGTCTACACTGGCATGGATGCTTTTGTGCAAAAGCAAACCTTTTGCGCAAAGGCACATGCCAGTATAGACGCTCTCTTGCGCAAATACTCGCGGCCAGTGTAGACAGGTGGCAAGATTTTGCGCAAAAGCAAGTGCTTTTGCGCAAAATCTTGCTAGTCTAGATGTACCCTACAGGTTTCTAAGTTCTTGGCATAGCGTTAACACCATTTGCATTATCTTAGCTCCTAGCGCAAGCAGTTAGGTATTCAACACTGGCTGCAACTCCTAATGGGGATGCATCACATTGCAAATCATTCCATTTGTACAAAGCCTCTTAAAGAGAGGCCAAAATGACTTATCAGAGTCCGTATGCCCAAGCTCTGTGGGACTATGAGAAAATGAGACATGAATCATAACCAATTGCATTTTTGCCCAATTTCAGTGTTTAAAAGATGGAATAATCTTTATCAGGCTGCAGCACTCGGGTCTCCTTGAAATTAATAGAGCGAGGATTTAGAAAAACCATAAAAGGAAACTGCAGTAGTCAAGTCAGGGAGTATTTAAAGCCTGAAGAAGGATTATAGCAGATTGGATGTGGTCGCATTGAAGAGGGTCCAGCGGAGGGCGACCAAAATGATTAGGGGGCTGGAGCACATGACTTATGAGGAAATACTGAGGGATTTGGGTTTGTTTACTCTGCAGAAGGGGGGATTTGAAAACAGCCTTCAGCTTCCTGAAGGGAGGTTCCAAGGAGGATGGAGAGAGGCTGTTCTCAGTAGTGACAGATGGCAGAACAAGGAGCAATGGTCTCAAGTTGTGGTGGGAGAGGTCTAGGTTGAATATTAGAAAAAACCGATTTCACTAGGAGAGTGGTGAAGCACTGGAATGGGTTACGTAGGGAGGTGGTAGAATCTCCATCCCTAGAGGTTTTTAAGTCCTGGTTTGACAAAGCCCTGGCTGGGTTGATTGAGTTGGGATTGGTCCTGCTGTGGGCAGGGGGCTGGACTCGATGACCTCCTGAGGTCTCTTCCAGCTCTATGATTCTATGAGATTGTTACTCTAATGATGGTTTTCCAAATATTCTGGTGGCAGTGATGGCTAGACATGAAGCTGTGCAAGAGGGAAAATTGTTGGAGGAAAAGAAAACCTAAGGGTATGTCTACACTTGCTCCCTGTCTCGAGATAGGGATGCAAATGTAGTGTACCGAAATTGCTAATGAAACACGGGATTTAAATATCCCGTGCTTAATTAGCATAATCACATCTGGCCGCCATTTTGAAATTGCATTTTTGTGAAGCTAAATGCCCTGTGTAGCAGCATTATTTTGAAAGAAAACCCTTCTCTCGAAATAACTGTTAAATCTCAATGTATGAGGAGAAACAGTTATTTCGAGAGAAGGGTTTTCTTTCAAACTAACGCTGCTACATGGGGCGTTTTATTTCGCAATAATGCAATTTCAAAATGGCGGCCAGACGTGATTATGCTAATTAAGCCAGGATATTTAAATCCCGTGTTTCATTATCCATTTTGGTACACTACATTTGCATCCCTATCTCAAGACAGGGAGCAAGTGTAGGCATACCCGAAGTAATTTGGAGGGGGAGGGGGTTTGGGTGGCCTTCTGCACATTACTGAATTTCACCCAAAGTGCTTAATATAAATTTCCAGACACATGTGATACATTTACAGGAGTTGTGTTTTTAGGACTGATGTTGAAGGTTGCATATCCCCTCCAGGAGAGCTATGAGTAGGGAACCCTAAGATTAGGGTTCCTATGGATAGGCCACCTGGAGTTAGGGTTAGGAATCTTATGTGTAGGGATTAGAGATATAAGAGTGTAGCTATTTAAATGGGTAACCAATACGCATGAGCGGCTCTTGATCCAGCTCCTGGGGTACCGCCCCCCCTCCGCCCCATGCTGCTGCCTTTGTATCAGCAGAGTGCCCTCTGATTAGTAGAGTGCCCACAGTCAGCAGCATATATTTAAAAGCCAGCTCCCAGCATGCATCAGCTCCCAGGAAGCCTCCTGCCGCCCCACGGCTAGTTTTGGAGTAGGAGGGGCCACTTACCTGTGGTTGGTAGCCAGCAATATGGAGAGCTCTAGCCCCAACTGGCCACTCTCTTCCTGGTGCAGCCTCCCCGCTGTGGTCATGCAGCAGTATTACTGTCCCACATGCTCGCTGTCCCTAGTGGCCATTGCAAGCATAACTGTCCCTGCTCTCAGTCCCCTCCCTTTCCGTGTTATGGAAAACAATTCCATTCTAGGCACTTCCTGTTTTCCTGGGACAACCAAACCCTGGCCACGCTTTAGGTTAGGGTGAGAGGAAGCTGCTTACCAAATGCAGTAGTCCTAGCTCTTATTGTTTAGGAGGAGTTCTAATACGTGAACTCTTGGCGCTGTTGAAGTCAATGGCAAAACTCCCATTGACTTCAGTAAGGTCAAGATTTCAGTCATTTATTTGCTAGCTTCTTTCTGTTACTGGAATCTTAGGTGGTACATGTACTGCTAGTAGCTATGTTTTTTCACAGTGAAATGTGATTTCCCCTCCCTGCTCAAGCTGATTTCCAAATTTAATTCTTAAACTGTAAAGTACACGGGAAATGTGAATGTGTTTTTATCTATTTCTGTCATTTGGCATTACTAATCCATACACACTGCCACAGAGAAAGGCTTTGCATATGAAACACATTGGGATTATTAAATAAGGATAGTCAGCTACAACCGAGGTTGTTGTGTTCTGCCTCTCCTGTTTCCTATCACCCTAACTGCCCAGCTGTGACTTTTGTTTCTTTTTCTGGCCTTGCATAGGAGATATTGGGGGAATCTCCTCTTATTTATTAGGCAAAGATTGGTGAAACACTGCATGTCAGTAAGGGTACGTCTAGACTACCGGGTTTTGTCGACGGAAGTTTTGTCGACAGTATCTGTCGACAAAACTTCCGTTGACAAACAGCATCCAGACACATTGAGTTCTGTCGACAAAGCAAGCTGCTTTGTCGACAGAACCCCGTAGTCTGGACGCAACCCTACAGGCAATAACACATTCTGTCGACAGAACTCTGTCGACAGAAGGCGTTATGCCTCGTAAAATGAGGTATACCAGCGTCGACAAAACTGCTGAGTTCTGTCGACGTTATGTCGACAGAACTCAGCGGTAGTGTAGACGTTGGTATAGTTTTGTTGACAAAAGTCCACTTTTGTCGACAAAACTCGGTAGTCTAGACACACCCTAACTGTCAGTGGGTCAATCTTGTAACGGTCAGTGGGTCAATCTTCCTCAGCAAATATTCCTCCTCAGGTCTTCAAGTGGCCATTCCTTAGGGTCTTATCTTCTCCCCAGATCTTTGGGGAACACCAGCCTCCCCTCCCCACCATTTTTGAAAGATATGAAAAGGAATGGTTTGTGCCGAACAACAAGAGCTGGTAAACTGAGTCAGTCCTGCTCAGGACTGGCTAGGGACATGCAACACCCTATTGTCCTTAGGGCAGGGTAGCTTGGGAAGCCCTGGGTACTCCCTAGCAAACAGGGTAGGGATCATGGGGCATTTCTAGTGGTAATTCCCCAGTTACTGCGGCATAAGTATCACTCCCCCCATGCTGCTGTTCCTGGACAGCTGCAGTGGATTGCCCATTTGGGCACTTCCTGCCCAACTCTTTCTGCCTCTGCAAGAACTTTGTAAGGTGGTTGAGGAAGACGGTGGCTTACACAGAGACCAGGGGATTGGACAGACCAAGCTCCCCTCTATGAAGAGAAAAGGAGAAACAGGAAGATTTCTAGCTGCATGCAGGAGGAGCAAGCCCTGGCTTCTGCTGACCACACTTAGCAACGAAGACCAGGGGCCCAAACCTGTTCCCACTGCAGTCACTTGCATACCCTGGACTTTAGGGATTTTAGTATTGGAACCTAGGTGAGGAGCCTGAGAATGACCCCAGGGTAGGGGAAGGAACCCAGCAGGGGGAGAAGGGACGTTTCCATGGAGGTTTTGAGTCTGCTTGAAGCCAGACGTTCATGCAAGAAGCTGACCTGCAGAGAATGGACTGGTGTCAGCCTCTGTGAATAAAACCCTGGAGAGTGCCCGTCTACATCCCGCACATGCCAGCTCCGCAGGGTCTGTGCAGCACTCACAACAACTTGCAGGAGGATGGGTCTGCAGTGTCATGACGTGGGCAGAGATGCTACGTTTGGCCACCCCACGTGAAAAAGCCTCCACGTGCGCTGCACTAAGAGGTGCTTCTTCC